GAACCAAGCAAGCCGACAGCCATCCCTTGAAAAACCGGTAGAAAGCTTGAAATTTCTCCTTCTTTTCTTGTTCTAGAACACATATAGAACCTAGAAACTTTCCCCCCTCTGCAGAATTTTCGGATCTGCCCTACTCTGCTCTATCCTTCTGCCGGCTGCTCTTGCTTGTGGGTGCAAAATTCCCTAATTTTTTGGTAAGAAGCAGCCATGAATTCATCTTTTCAGCTTTAATTTGAATTGTGTTTTGGTTCTTGAATTTTGGTAGCCGTGAGTCCCCTGCAGAAATTACCGTCGGCTCTTCCCCCAGACTGCAGTCCAGTTTTTGTTGGGAAAATTCTGGTATGTTGACAGCCCCTCCAAGCCCCGAATTTGTCCATTTATTTGTTGCCTTGTGTGTCCGAAAATCTGCTGGAAATAGGGGAGAAATTTGATAGAAATTAGACCATGATTTAGCTTAATTCATGTAGAAAATTAGCTTATTTTGGCTACTGTGATTTTCGGAGAAAATCCCGTGAGATTAGATATGGTTGTCACGCCCCAAAACCCAAATTCGAGGCACGACAGACGTCGTGCACTCGTGAGAGGATCCCACAAATGCACAAGGCTCGAAACTTATCAAATTCACATCTAACAATCCACAAAATCTGATGATCAAATCTTTAAAATCTCTCTGATATCATAAAATCTCCAAATACACTCCAGTTTACAAGATCATGATTTCTTTCTAAAATATATATCAATCTCGAAATGGCTAGCTTTCAACTCGTCACTTCCCGTGGTTTCCCCATCTTCGGTTTCACTTCCTGAAATGGTGGACAAGGAAAACTATGAGATAAACTCAGTAAGTAAATATGGAGTGCCCTTAATTAAACTTATAGCATGCCAACGAGTATAATCACTATAAATGGATGCAATACGGAAACAAAATAGACGTCTCCTCTATAGGTCACGGCCAGTGTTATAAACCTCCCACTGGTAGGCACACGATTTACTAGTGTATAATCCCCACTAGCAGGGTCACTTGTACGAACCGGCTCTGTCACTAACATATCGACATGTGCCGCATATGCTAGCGTTTAACCCCCACTAGCATGGTTACAATAACATGACCACATTGGAGACAAAACAGGCAGAAGTTAACAAGAAAATCACAATTCACCAATCACTTTCAGATCATCAGGACAATCAATCAAATTTCAAGTAGGCATGCTCAATTTAATGAAAAACATAAAACTTTCACTTCAAATCAGTCATGCTCGTGTAAAATGGGTTTAGTCCCGCCACCATTTCAAAAACAAATCAAAACATGCTTTCAAAAAACTATACGGGCGTTACCATAAATTTACTTACCTCACTCGCATAAAACTGAGCACTCAATCTCAGTGCTAACTGACAGAACGATCAGAAACCTAATCAAAATATCCAGAATTAATTATCGTACTATCACAAATTCACATTGAAATCATCATTAAGACTACCCTTAATCACAATGCTATTTCCTATCAATCTCCACATGATCAGATATCTCCAAATTTGTTCTTATATCACAAACTAATCATTTAAATCCCCACTAATCGTTAACCCCCGGTGTGTGAACAGTACACCGTGAACAGTGCCATGAACAGTACCCACGACGTGAACAGTAACTACACTTCCAAAAATTAGCCAAAACACTAGCTAATCACGGGGTTTTCTCTCCAAAAATCACACAGCAATCAATTAACACTCAATCACATAAATCCCACTTCAATTAAGCTAAATCATGGTCCTAAAGCTACCGGAAATATCCCCATTTTTCTGTAAAATTCAGACATGACAAGGCAGCAAACTAAATGGGTAATTTTAAGCTTAAATGGCTGTCACATACCATAATTTTCCTAGCACAACCGAACTGCAGTTTGGGGGAAGGCCGGCGGCATGGAAGAAGAAATCCTGCAGGGAACTCACGGGTTTTACCCAAAAATTGGAGAAATCAAGGGAAATTAAGGCAAACCCAACTTAAATCAAAGCTAAAAGGATGAAATCATGGCTGTTTCTTACCCAAAATCAGAGAAATTCGGCCCCCACAACAAGAGCAGCCGGCGGACAGAGCAAGGCAGATCCGGATTTTCCAGCAGGGGGGGAGAATTTCTGGGTTCTAGAACAAGAAAAGAAAGAGAAATCTTCAAGCTTTAACAGTTTTCAAGGGAGGAAGTCGCCAGCAGCTTAGGGGCTTTGTTCGGCTGCAGCGGGAAGAAGAATAGCAGAATCGGGAAATGGCTGGGGAAGAAAAGAAGGAAAAATCCAAGCTTCCTTACCAATTTTCCAAGGCATGGCTGGGTTCTCTTTTTTTTCTTCGGGTGGCTGCAGCAAGGTCGGGAAGAGCAGAAGCACGCGGGGAAGAAGAAAGAGGAAAAAGGAGAAAAATATCAGCCATCCTTATCCAATTTTCTACCCTTTTAAGTCCTTCAAGTTTGGACATTTTGGCTAATAAACCCCAAAACAATATTTCTTTCTCAAACAAGTTCCTAACTTAATGCTAAATATCACAAAATTTGGGGGTATTACAATGGTTTTGCTAATTTTTGGAAGTTGCAGTACTGTTCATTGGTACTGTTCACGGATACTGCTCACGCACTAATGGCCAACAATTAACGAGGATTTAAATGTTTAGTTTGTAATATAAGGACAAATTTGGAGATGTCCGATCATGTGGAAACTGATAGAAATAGCATCGTGATTAGGGTTTCACTTTGAAATTGTGATAGTACGGTATTAATTCTAGGGTATTTTGATTAGGTTCTTGAGTGTTCTGTCACCCCAGTACTTGGCTTGAGTTATGGATTTAAGGTAAGTAAATTTATGGTAATGCCCGTACAGTTTTTAAAAGCATGTTTTGAATTGTTTTTGAAGTGGTGGTGAGACTAAACCTGTTTTATGCAAAAGTAAGTATGACTGATTTGAAGTGAAATTTTTATGGTTTTCATTAAATTGAGCGTGCCTACTTGAAATTTAATTGATTGTCCTGATGATTTAAAAGTGATTGATGAATTATGATTTTTCTGTTAACTTCTGCCTGTTTTGTCTCCGATGTGGTTATGTTATTAGTGACCCTGCTAGTGGGGATTAAACGCTAGCACATGTCAACATGTTACTGATAGAACAGGTTTGTTCGAGTGACCCTGCTAGTGGGGGTTATACACTAGCAAATAGTGTAGCCTGCCAATGGGAGGTTTATAACACTAGCCATGACCTATAGAGGAGACGTCTATTTCGTTCCCGCACTATAACTGTTTTTCGTTATTACACTTGTTGGCATGCTATAAGTTTAATTAAGGGCTATCCATATTTACTTACTGAGTTATCTCATAGTTTTTCCTTGTCCACCATTTCAGGAAGTGAAACCAAGGACGGGGAAACCACGGGAAGTGATGAGTTAAAAGGCTAGCCATTTCAAGTGTAATACCCCCAAAATTTCTAGAGCATCAAGTGAGAGTTAGGGACTTAATTGTGAAGAAATACTATTAATGAACTTAATGGCAAAAATTTTTAAAGTTCAGGACGAAAAAGAAAGGAAATTAGGATAAGGATCAGCTGATATTTTCATTCCTTTTCTTCCCAGCCATACACCGTTGAGGATGAAAGGCCCTCATGATCATGATCGGATGCAAAATTATAATCCATTAATGGATCAATCGTTTGCTGTATATCTGAAGTTACGCCATTATTAGTAAACAACTGCGGGTGATTAAGACTATGTTGCCTTCGTGATCCTGAGGAGGAAGATCTCCTCCTTGCTGAACCTGCAAGATTTCCAAACATCTTGAAAAATGAATAACAAAATAGTTATTAATATATTTATACAAATAACGAGTAACAAATTTAAAACAATCATACAGTGGTTCTATTTTAAATGAAAAATATATAACTTGATAAAACAATATATATAAGACAAAGAAATTTTAATATATATAT